ATCGAGGAATGTCCTCCTCAGAATATAGCTCGGACGGGTTGTAAACGAGTCGTCTAATCCTCTCTACACTTACTCCATTACGCCTATGAAGTTCAACTCTTTCATTAGCCAGGTCTTGGTTGCTGAAAAAGAACAAGTCCGTAGATCTCATTGTCATCTGAAAAAGAGAAGACAATTGTGTTTATGTTAAACTTTTGTCCCTGAATATTATTTTGTTATTCATCTTCTTTCTGACCCCTGCTTCTTATGATACGACCAACCACGTCAGGAGTATCTAAATATACTCCGTTCAACTAGTAAGACATGAGCTAGGCTGCTTTTGGCACCAACTCTCCATACGTCAGCGGTATCTAGAATGACCACTTAGAAGGGAGTGCTAAAGCTGTTTTCCCTTTTACGAAAGGCGTCAAGAATAAATTCCTTCCGTGAAAGATGTCTTTTTCATTTCCCTACGAGGTGGTCTGGGATACTCCTCCTCCTCGCCCAAGCACAAAGCTCGGATCTCAGAAGTCGGGCCGTATCCACCGAATCGGCGTAGTACCCCCCCGCAAAGCGGTCCACTCTAAGTCGATAACAGGGCCGGCCACTAAGGCAACGAACCCCCGCCCTTGATGCCTCCTCGAAAAAGGGAAAGCACTTACATGGCAGACATGTAAAATCTTGCCGCCTAACGTCAAAAGTAAACTTGGACGAAGAAAAAGAAAGTCGTAAAGAGAAAGAAATCATTCAGACTGACAGGCATAGATGGAGAAGGGTCATTCGAAAAATAATGGGTAACCTCAGGGATAAGTCTAAATCCAATTGAACTTCTCTTCCTTGTGCTCGCTTCGTTTTTCGCCGTCTTCTTTTCTCTTTTGTTCATACTTAAAACACAAGCACAGAGGTGAAAAGTCAACCATTCTTTCACCGCCATTACCCTCATCCATTTCAGCCCACATGCTGTACCTGCACTCAAGCCCAACGACACACAGACCACCATGCATTCCTCTACCATTGTCAGACTCCCTGTCATACACGCAATTACACACATTATTTTCCCTTTTCAATGAACATTCAATGAACCAGGTCAAAGCAAGTATGGGTTCACACAGGTGTGAAGGGAACTGAGTCAGATTAACTGACCATTGACAACTAACCTTGAGTGAAGTAGTACGGCGCACTCAAGAAGACCGTATAAATTTTCCGCTCTCCTGACGAGAAGGTTGCCGCACCAGTCGTCACCAAAGTGATCGACACCACTCTCTTGTGACGACCGCCTGCCAGAGCACCCTCTCAGCACTGAATCACTTCCCAATGATCAAGCGGCATCACCCTCAGCCGCCAGCAAAGTGGACCACGTCACTCCCTTGTGACGACCACCTGCCACAACACTCACTTATTTTTTTTTCTTTTTGTAAGTGTCACCGCCACTAGCCTTGACTTGTCACCCCGTCACAGCGCTGTCAAGTCCATGCCACCTCAAAGTTCCCTACTCTAGCGGCACCTTCCCTGCGCCAAGACCCAGCTGCCACTCAATATAAAATTACTTCCGTCGCCACCGTAAATCTTAGTGCCACTGCTAAAAAAAAATTGTGCTGCCGCTGCAGAATTTCGGCAGCACTTCCGTACTACCGTAGTAAAAACCGGGGTTGCCGCCGTAAAATTTCGGCAACACTTCCGTACTACCGCAGTAAAAGTCTGTGCCGCTGCAGCAAAATTTCGGCAGCACTTCGATACCACCGTAGTAAGCGTCCGTGCCACCGCAACAAAATTTCGACAGCACTTTGGTACCACCGTAGTAAAAATTGGGACCACCGCAATAAAATTTTGGCAGCACTTTCCCACTATAGTGAGAAAATCGCAAGCCAAAATTGGTAAAATTTGGGCACCAGGCCTAAATCTCATAGCGCCGCACTGCCGAAGTCCCGCAGTACCATTGGGTCTGTCCCGTGGGACCTGCACCAGCCAGAGGAGAGGGGAGCAGAGTGATCCCTGCCTTGGCTATGGCTGCCCAGTTCTCCTCCTTGTGCTCCTCTGCAGTCCTCCAACCTCTTCTCGTGTTGCCTCAGGTAGCAGCTCCAGCTGCCAGCAACACTCAAGTGTGCTCGTCACACACTGGCAGCACGAGTGCATTGTGTGGCAGCTGTGGGGCAACTGTCTGTTTTATATTGGCTGAAGATGGCTGGACGTCACTCCAGCCCCCAGGTAAAATCGCGGGCTCATTGTGAGCCCTTGATCTGCCAAAATCCAGGGTTGATTGTGGCCGCACCACAGCGAGAGCCTTAGTGTGGGGTAGTTTCTTTAACTGCCCTATTTCAATTTTCTTTTTCTTTTTCCCAGCTATCTCGGAATCTGGCGAGATAGCTGGGCTCCTGTCATTTCCAAAGCAGTTTTTCTTTTATTTTTCTGATAAACGGTTGAAAAGATTCAACCGTTTTCAGTTTGATGTATCCGGACCCTTTTTCCAGGGCAGATACATCGAGGAAAAGGCTGTATCTAGCCTTTTCCTTAGTGGCTCTTTAATTTTCAGGCTCCCTGCAAAAACGAGAGCATGACAGTTACCTCTGGCAGCTTCAACGCCACGTGACGACAACTGTCCTCACACAAAATAAAGAAAAGAAAAAGAAAAAAAACTAACTTTCTAATTTTTACTAAACCTGGCTTTTACCTCAGCCAGGTTCGTGCTGTTGCATACAACAGCCCTCCTCCTTTTCCTCTGCCCTCCCCTGAAAACGAGGGAGGCAGTTGTCAGTTTGGGAGGAGCAGGACCTCCTCCCAACTCTCACGTTCCTCCTCCCTTTCTTTTCTCCCAACCAACTCCACAATCCCGTTCCCACCCGCGCATCATGAGCCGCGAGATCAAAGATCTCGCGGCCTCAAATATTCGCCCTGAATGGGGTGGGGAGCCTTTCTGCTCCCACACAGCCGAAAAGACTGTTCTTCTCCAGCTACGAAGCGGTTGCCTCATTTCAGTTTTTTTTCCTTTTTTTTTTTTTTTTTTCACAGTTGTTGATTTGTTTCATCTCGTCCCGTTTTTCCCTGCTTTCTACTCTCCAATGGTCACGCGATGTGGGTGAACAAAGAAAAAGAAACAAAAAGAAAAACAACAAAAAATAACAAACGACTTACCTTGTCAGTGTACCTTTCCATGTTTCAGTGGAAGGTTCGTTCGATTTCGTTCATCCTATCACCCGGCTGTAGAGGTTTTAACCTCCTGATGAGTCGGTGAAAGCCCGATGAAACAGTCTGTCGTCCTTCTCTCTCTACTAATCTGAACCTAGCTGCCCACGGGCGACAGGTTCATTCGATTTGCTCATCCTAGGATGAGCAGTCGGAGTTCAGCCACCTGAAAAGTTGGTGTGGCTCCGACGGAACAGTTAGGCATAGGGCGTCGCTGCACTACTCTTGAAATGCACGAAAGACAAAAATCATGTCGCGGTATCTTTCCATGTTCTAGCGGAAGATTCACTCTCGTTTTGCACATCTCGAGAGTAGTGCAACGAGGCTCATAGTTTGGATCCCCCCCCCCTTCTCTCTCTCTCTCTCTCTCTCTCTCTCTCTCTCTCTCTCTCTCTCTCTCTCTCTCTCTCTCTCTCTCTCTCTCTCTCTCTATGTCTGTGTGTACCAAGCCGGCTTCAGCGCCAGGTTCATGCCTTTGCAGACTGTCGGGGTCCAACCCCCTGATGAGTCGGTGAAACCCTGACAAAACGGTCTGTCACAGTTTCACCCGTTCGTCCGAAACGAACGGGTGCCCTGGCACCGAAATTTAACTCTAAAAGAAAAAGAAAAAAAAAAAATCTAAAACGAAATCTAGAAAAAATCTAAAAAAAGCAAAATTTGAAGAAAAAGAAAAAAAAGAACTTACCTCAACGGCTTCTCAAGGGCTGTACGTTTTCTCAGGGGCTGTACGTCCCTTTTCTTCTCGGTGCGCCATCTGTCGCGCCGTAGTTCGTTCGATTTTATTATTATTATTATTATTATTATTTTTTAGAATTCCCGTTGGCTTATGTCAACGGTCGTGCTGTGTTCGTGGACTCACTCACAAACTGTTGAAACGCAGACCCGAGTTCGATCCCTGTCGAGATCAAAAAATAAAATAAAAAAATTCGGACCTTTTCTCGATTTATGCGTGTCATCCTTGCTCAGGGGCCATGCTAATCTCCGCGCTCGGTTGATCTGGGTCGTGCGATCTTTGCGATCGATGGCCTAGGTCGTCCGCGCAAGCTATATAACAGTGGCTGGCTCCAAAAGGAGCTAGCCCAGTGGCATTGTTTCGTCGGATTCGATCCTGGTGTCTGCCGGGTGAAAGTCTATCAACATAACCTACTGGGCTAGCTCCTGTTCGACACTGAAGAGGAGCAGCTCTTCAATATGAAGAGCTAGCCCAGATGTTTATCCTGCCTGCGGCCTTGCAGGCTTGTCCTGTCCGTGGCCTAACAGGCCCTTCCCGCCTGTGGCGTGCTGGCTTATCCTGCCTGTGGCTTGCCGGCCCCGCCTGCCCGTGGCCTCCCATACCAGTTAACCACGTGGCCGCGGCTTGGTCGGCCATCGATCTGGGTAAGCCTTGGCATTGGCCTATCGGCCCCCAGGCTCGAAGTCAGACCTCGCGGCCCTAGAAAAAACTTCCTACACCTCCTGCGTCGTAGCCCTATACCCCGACGCAACCCTCTTTTAGGTCCTGAATCGCGAGGCTTAGCAGTCGCGTGACACCATTATAGGTAGGATAGGCCTAACTTTAGTCTTTCTACGGCCGCACATCTCTGCGGTCTAGTCGTAATCCTGCGGACGAGTCGGAATAATCCAATAGCATGCTTATTTTGTCAGACCAATTCCACAAACTTATATAAAAACTCGGACTTCGTCTGACATTAAAAATACAGGGCAGATACCCTTGTCAAGGTTTACGTCCCGACACCGCCACCTCACCGCCTTCCACCACGGGTTCTTCGCCTTTCTCATCGCCATGAACCCGAGCTTCCACCAAGGGTTCTTCTTCGCCTTCCTTATCGCCAAGAAGCCGAGCTTCCACGAACGTCCACGTACGTCCTTCCTCCCCACGGTCATTGCCTTCCTCAAACATCCATTGACCTCCCTAACGTCACCCTTGTGCGTCGTCGCCACAACCGACCGACTGTGCAGAACCTCTTCCGACGTCCCGGTCACCAGCACTCCTGCGTCGAGCCCCTTCAGCACTTCGCGAGCCGGCCAGTGTTGAGTCTCCTCTTCCCGCTGAAGAGCATGCACTTCTTGTGAGAGCTCCTTTTCCCCCAGAGTTGCTGTACTCTGCTCTCCGAGTCGACAAACGCGCCCTCCGAAGCTTGACGTTCATGCTCGCTAGCCCCGGTCTCCAACACTCTGCGAGACCGCCAGTGTTAAGTCTCCTCTTCCCGCTGTACAGCATGTGCTCCCGGTGAGAGCTCCTTTTCCCCAGGAGCTGCTGTACTCTTGGTCTCAGAGTCGACGGATACACCCCTCGAAGAATGATGTTCATACTCGCTACCCCCGGTCTCCAACACTCCTGCAGCGTAGAAGAAGAGCCTGTCATTCTCCCAGGTTTCATGAACGTCAAGCTTCGGAGTTTGCGGCGCTCGCCAGAGTTGAGGTAAAGGAATGGTTTTGCTGTACTCTGCTCTCCGAGTCGACGGACGCACCCTCCGAAGAACGACGTCGGGAACTCCGAATCTATGCGGAGTTTGCGGCGCTCGCCAGAGCTGAGGGAAAGGAATGGTTTTGCCGCTCAGGAGATGTTGACGTATGCTGCAGACGTTCGCCCTCTTCCAAGAGGGGCAGGAGCAAGGTGTTGTGCATATGAGTCGTCGACTGCGTACGGTGGGATGGACTCTCCTCCGCATCGGGAAACAAAGTCCTCGCAGACAAGTGCGAATCTACTCGCAGTTGAGAAGACTTTAGGGCGACCTCGTCTCGCATGTCGGAGTCTCGACTCCCTACGCAGTGGCTATCTGTTTCCCTAGACTCACGACTCCCGAACGCTCTACGCTTTCCACCCGACCCCTTTCCGCCCGACCCCTTCCCGCCTGACCCTTTTCCGCCCGACCCCTTTCCGCCTGACCCCTTTTCGCCTAACCCCTTTCCGGCAGATCGTGAGCCGTCTCCTCCCTCACCTCCTCCAACAGATCCTGAGTTGTCTCCTCCGTCACCTCCGCCGTCTCCTTCGTCTCCTCCTCCACCGCCTCTCGGATGCTGACCACCCGACGGAGGTTGAGGCATGCGCCAGTCAATGCCACGAGACAGTGTTGTTTCGAGTTTGTAGAAAGGCGCTCGAAACTCCAACATTTTGTTGTCGTACAGCTCAGCGAGCTTCTGGCCTGCATACGCATTGACGTCCGTCAGGCTCCTTTCGAGGTTCATCACACTCAAATGATCCACCAGAGCTTCTGTCGCCTTTTTCTTAAATGGACCCGCTCCCAGTCTGTTTAGGCCACTCCACTTGCCATCGGCTTCCTTCATTGCCATGACCCACTTTCCATTCTTTACATCAGGTTGGAATTTCCTGGGGTGCCAGAGGACGTTGTGGCCCCACACATCCTCCGCTGTGAACCGGTGGTGTTTCCCGTAGAAGAAGAGCCTGTCATTCTCCCAGGTTTCATGGTCCTTAGGGAGCCTGTCACCAGGTTCGTACTCATAGTCTCTAGCTTCTTCCCCGTCATCAGACGATTGGTCCCCGATTGTTTCGCGCTCAAACACATGCTACAAACTGGCAGGGGACGCACTATATCTCCGAGGAACACCTTCCCCTTCATCATTGACCTGTGCAACCACCCGAGGAAGTGGTATGGACTCGAAATCGAAGGTTTCGGAGTCGCTCAGCTCCTCCATGTCTTCAGCGTCGAAAGGGTCCTCCTCGTCAAGCTGCGCCTTGTAGTTTTCGAGGGTCAGCAGTTCTGCCATCAAGAAAAAAATGTGTTCCAACTTTTTCAGGAAATTTGAGACAGACTCCCTGGGTGCATCGTGGTAACCATTCAACACATCGAACACCAGGTTTCTCCGCTGATTGTATTCCAGGTCGGTCTGAGCAGGCGGTCCTGGTTGGAAAAGGAAGTCCCAAACCTTCGTCCTTTTGTTCCCTAGCAATTTCCAATACATGTCACGTTTGGGATCCCAGTTTCATTCGCCGGTGGTCTGGACAAAAGAGCAATGGTGGCGAGGGTCCCCCACGTGTGTCTTAACGAACTCGTTAAGGTAATCGATCATCCTCACCTCGTTCTCTAATGCAACGACGTTCCGACCGCTGCGCAGGATCTCCCACACGATAGACGCATGCGCCTTCCCAAAGAAAAAATAGTTTGCCCAACTCTGCAAAAGTTTTCGAGCAGACCAAATAGATGAGCCGGGTTGCGCTTCCTGTCCCCGTAAGTAGCTCCACGAACACTTGTCATGCCGTCGTCCTCCCACTGGCTACGGGGCTGTGGAACATCTATGCCACAGAGAGCCATAGAAAGGGAGTGGGAGGAGGGGGATTGGAATGATGAGTCGTCGTCGTCAGAATCATCGGACAAGGCAGAGGAACTAGAAGACATGTGGAGGTCTGACAAATCTGACTCGGATGGGTCGTGGACAAGGAGGGAGCACATTCTTCCATACAAAGAGGGCACACGTAGAAGCACGCGATTGGAGGAGCGACGACAAGATTTGCCGCAACAGCAACAACAACAACAACAAGCAGAACTGGTAGCACCAACAACAGGACCAGCACCAGCGACAACAAGAGCAGCAACGTCAGCAACAGCGACAGCAGTAGCACTAACAGCAACAGCGGCAATGGTAAGAAGCGCAATTGCACCAGCAGTAGCACCAGCGGCGACAACAGCAACAGCAGCAGCAACAAGCGCAACTGCACCAGTAGCAGCAACAAACGCAATTGCACCAGCAGCACCGACAACAGCGATAGTAGCAACAGCAACATCAGAAGGAGCGCCACCAGCAAGAACAACAGCAGCAGCAACAATGGCAACAAGCGCAACAGCATCAGCAGCAGCAACAACAGCAGGAGCAGCACCAGCGGCAGCAATAGCAGCAACATCATCAACAGTGGCAGCAACAGCAATAGCAACATCAGCAACAACAACAGCACCACCATCAACAACAGAAGCAGCAGCAGCAACAACAGCAAGCACATCAGCGGCAGTAGCAAGAACAACAACAAGAGTAGAAGTAGCAACAACACCAACAGAGAAGCAGCACCAGCAACAACATCAAAGGCAACGCGCGCGGCAGCAACAGCAACAACAGCAACATCGGCAGCAGCAGCGAGATCAACAGCAGCAGCTGTTGGAGGAGCAACAACACTTGCAGCAGGGGGTGCATGAGCAGGAGCAGCAACCGCATGAGCCGCAGGCCCTGCCACTTCAGGTGGGTGGCATCTCTGGGTTTTATGGTTCAAGCCCCAGAGCGCTAGAACAGACAAACCAAATCCGGAGGCGGAGGATCGCCGACGCCTTGACACACATACTTTACGTCCCTGCTCCTCGCAAGGCCTGTTGGGGAGAGCATCACACCCCAGCAGGTTGTGGAACCCTGTTGCTCACAGAACAGGGCGTGGCAGGGGTCGAGGTGGAGGTCGAGGCGCGCAGGAAGCAGTTGCGGTTGCTGCAGGTCGTGGTGAAGAAACAAAAAAGCGGGGGAGGCCAAAAGGGAGTGGGACCAAACGCAAATCTCCCACTGCCGTACCTCCCACAACTGATCCTGGTCCTGTATGTGCGCTGCCGCCGGACGAACGTGTGAAAGGCAAAGCCCCGACAGTGGATGATACAAACGACTACGACTCGGACAAAAACTTGGCACTGCATGAGCGTAAGCGCTTGCGTGTTAGAGCTTCTGCAGCGGAAAAGTGTGGTAGAGGGGCAGTGATCAAGGAGCGGCAGCAACAGTGATTGATACGTCATGAGAGAGAGAGAGAGAGAGAGAGAGAGAGAGAGAGAGAGAGAGAGAGAGAGAGAGAGAGAGAGAGAGAGAGAGAGAGAGGGAGAGGGCGC